TGTGCTACATGTTGTTAATGTCTTTCCAGCAACAACTAAAACTTTTACCCCACAAAGATGTCATTTTAATCTCTCTAATCAATGAAGAATGGCAGAATTTAGACTGACTCTCACATTATTAAGCAGTTGTTTCAGTGGAATTCACCTGAATCGCATGTTAGAAAGACATCTGAGTACAACTAACTATTTAAGAACTTACCATAAAAACATTTTTGGCATAACCAAAGTGTCTACTACTTTAAAATAATGACATTTAGAAGGAATCATTCTTAGTTTTAATCTAGTTACAATACTAAAGATCTCTGTACAATCAGGTCTCAATTTTACCTTGTTCAACATGTTCAATAACTCTCAAGGCTTTTCTTGCAGCCCATCCTCCCATGGACACATGATCCTCTGTAGCAGCACTGGTTGAGAGAGAATCCACAGAAGAGGGGTGGCACAAGGCTTTATTCTCAGAAACTGCAAAAGTCCAATGTGACTAAATGGTACATTGTGTAGGCAAAGAGGTGCTAGAAACAACAGACACATCTGAAAGATGCTGCAGTGAGAAACACATCTAATTCAGTGCACACAATGAAGCACTGCAAGTGTGTGGCACTGCTGTGGCTTGACCAAGTCCTCTGCAGTACCTATTACTTTGCCTCTAGAGATGGCAGTCATTAGGTGACTTCAGATGCTGATATGAAACTAACCATAAAAAGCAAAATATATATGAAAAACTAATTTAAAATATATATTACTGCTAATCCCAGTTTTAGCAGTAAACTTCCCTTCTTGCTTGTCCACCCCCATTCTGCCTGGGAGCCACTGGAATATTCCTGTGAGAGAGAAGGGATGGCCAGACCATCTCTACCAGCCAAAAATTCAAACTTTGATTCCTGGTGTAGGTCATACGTAGAGTGCCCTGTTATGTGCTGCTGTGTACCATTACTTCTATGTTAGTTGGCACCCTCTCCTGTGAGGATGCACGGTGCCCACTGGCACCAACCTTGCTACTGGCAGAATGAACTCTTCAAGCGTCCATGAGGACGTTTTACCTTACGGTAGGGACCAAACCACTCTATTTTGACTCCAGAACCAGGAAATTACAAGGACTACTTTTTCTTCCAGCTCCTTTGGTACTAAGCCTTGGGATATCTGGCCTAGAGTGGGAAACATTTGTATAATTTAAAACTAAATAATTCTGTTTCCCCATTTGGCCCATTCCAGCTAAACAGAGCTGTCTTCAGTCTTCTTCTTCTTGCACAAAATCAGTTTCTGACCACCTCACATCAGACCTTTCCAAGTGACCCTCACTTTTTGCAGTGTATGGTTTGCAGGGGTCAAGTGTACGAAACTTCCAGTTGTAAAAGAGTCCCTGAAGAAAGCAGAGGCAAGCTTGAAGAATAGAAGCAGGTCTGGAAAATGGTCTTGTCTGCTGCTTCAGGAACAGGCATTTTTGGTATTTCCAAAGGGATCAGTTTATCCAGTTTCTTTTTGTCCAACATACTATCCAAGGTATAGCTGGAGGAATGACACAGACTATCAGCTGATGCAGCAAACCATTTCTAATGAGCACTGTGCAAACTCTCTCTGTGAATGTCAACCTCCCCTGGTGCTAGGTCAGGGATCACAGCCGTTGGTTCAATCACCCCAAGAGCAGGTTGGTCTGTTTCAAGACTGTACTGTCCATGCCCCATTGTAAACCTCACAACAGGCCCAGTCACAATTCTGGCTCCCATGAAACTTCCCTAATAATAATAAGTTTTTGACTAAGAAGGAATTGTAGGATCAAACCAAACATTTGTACTTGCAGGAGGGGGCTCAGTTGGTAAAATCCATTCTCACTTGAGGAGAGATGAAATAGAGCCCTTTTCACAGTGCTCAAGCTCTATTTGGCCCCAGATTTTTCACTTAGAAGCCATCCAAATAGAATACAGCTACAGCCTCCCTGCCACCTGGGGAGCTCCAGAGCTCCAAGAGCAACACTGACTGACTGACTGCAACCAAGACACTCTCTTCCCAGGTGCAGGAGAGCAACACGCAGCTTGTCGGGACTGGGCCACAAGCCAGTTGGCATGCTTGAGGAAACAACAACAGGCTCCTGGGAGCCTGCACATGACTGATGCTATGAGCTCACCCTGGGAAAAACAGTGTGACCACACA